CTGCTTAGAGCTCCACAGCAAGCACTGTGTAAAACACCTCTCTCCCTTTGCACCTGTGTGCAGAGGTCTCCAAGTTCTTGCTGACAGAAGTAACATCCCACTTGCTCAGCAAAGGCTTCTCCTGTCCTTGACTTGACTTTTAGTGTCCATGAGGCTGAGTCGGGCACTGACAGCGCGCGAGAGAGCAGAAGTTACTTTTGCTTCTGACAAGGCTGGAGCACATTTTTAGCTGCACTCCCCTTTCTTCCAGTCTCATCCCTTTAGTGCCTTGATCCATTCCCTAGAGCTGAAAGGAGTCTTTGGCAGCCTGCTCCAGGTGTTGCTGAGCACCCTGTCTAGATGGGTTTTTTTTTTGTCTAATAACTGGACAAGGACTTGGGCAGGAATGAGAATGAAAGTATGTTATTGTCCCAGATGTCCTTATGGGGTGTTTGTGGGGTGAGAACCTTTGTTTCATCACCATAGGACACCTGGGTTTATTACCTTTCTCCTGGTTCTAGTCCTTTAACAAAGAATGTAGTTTAATTGTATAATACCAACGATAGAGCTGAAACAGTTTCCTGACACAGGGCTGTGTTTTGCACTTTCTGTTCCTGAAATAATAAAAGCACTGTAGGACTCTGTTCCTTTTTTTAACCATTAATTGTGCATTTTTAAACATTAGTTTTATGAATTAAAAACCCCCATTTGTTCCTTTATAGTATTACTAGCTTCTATGTAGCTTGTTTCATATTAATTGTTAAACATGAGATTTTCTGGATTTTGAAACCTGAGCTGCTTAATTGGGTTGCCATGAAGTGAAGGGGTTAGCCTTGCAAGGCTTTCCGGCAAAGGGTTCCCTAAGCAATTGGTTGTTTCTGGGCAGGAGTGCAACGCTGCCTCTTGTTTTTGTGCACAGCTTCAAATCAAGGCTTGGTGGTCGTCATCCAAAAGGTGCTAGATGGCCCTACCCTTAATTCAGTGCACAGTAACCCAGCTGTCTCAGATGAAGAAAGTAAAAGCATTATTCTAAGAGCAGGGTGGTAACACCGAACAGTTTTGTCATGCACTCCAGTTAAATGGCTGGTGCTGTGCACCCGAAACCAATACAGGCATTGTGTGTTCTGGTGGCCAGACCGACGGCTGTTGGAGATCAAAGATCGCGATAAGCCGAAGAAAACCCTCCATGTTTTTACTTTCTTTAATATGGGGAAAAAAAAAAAGGCAAAGATGACTGACCTAAAATTTGGAGCGTAAATAGAGAGGCAGGGTGGGAAGACAGAGACGCGCTGCCCCGAGCGGTCGCGGTGCGCTTGTCCCACGGGGCTAAATACCCCTGGATCCTGTACCGCTCGCGCAGGAGAGGTTTTTTGGTTATTCCCACTCCCGAAGCTCCCCCTTTCCTTCGTCGGGACACCCAGGCTTCCCCCGTGGGCAGCGGGACGAGCGCGGTCGCGGGGTAAGACCTGCGGCCCCGCCTCTCGCTCCGCCCCCCCCGCCCCGGCAGGGTCCCCGCGGGTGTCCCCGCGGTGTCACTGCCCGGCTCGGCTCCTTCCGATCCATCCCATCCCGCTCCGCTCCCGCCGCCCCGGCAGGTAGGCGGCCAGGCGGCCCTTGGCTGCGCTGCGGCTCCGTGGGGATCCCCGGGGCATCCTACCAGGAAAGAGGCGGTAACGGGACGAGACGGGGAAATTTTTCCTCCGCACTTCCGTAGCGGTGTGGTCTCTGCGGTCTCTTGGGCAGCCTGGATGGGGGCTGTTAAACAGCTGGTTTGGGTGAAAGGCTTGCGCAGAGCGGAGTTCTAAGTAAACGAAAGTGAAAGTACGCTTTGGGTTCGTATAATTTTAGGGATGTTAGTGGGCGTTCTTTACCATAGAGCTCGATAAGAACGTTGCAAAGCTGCCGGCTGTTTATCCGTCTGTCGGAGGAAGCTGAAAGTGATATTCTGCCATTCCTGTAGAAAGACTGTGCAGGAAACACGCAAGTTGTGGTGTAAACTCTTCCACGCAGTTGGTCCAGGACAGAAACAGCCACACCGACAGTCCGGCTGCAAGCAAGCACAGAGCAGCCGGCATCTGAGCTGGGCGAGCAGGAAGGTTGTACAGCATCCAGTAGTACTGCCAGTGGCCTTTGGGTGTTTTTTTGTGCCTGACACAGCCCTTCCACCTTTCACCCGCTCCAAGGGCATCCTCGTGAGCATCTCCCCAAAATGAATCGCTGCTCTGACCGTGCAGTGTCAGTCCTGACGCTTTGTCTGCTCTGCACTTCGCTTCTGCCTTCGCTGACCGGTAGGTCACCTGAAGCTCTGAGAACCCCGCTCTCCCTGCCCGAGCCTTTAGGGCCGCCCAGGCTCCTTGGGAGTCGGGTGTGTTTGTTCCTGGATGCAGCGGGCAGGCAGCTCTCTTGCTCTCGGCCGTGCAGGCTGGAGAAGACAGCGGTGTTTTACGTGCTGAAGGTCAGCGTACACGGAATCTTTGGCAGGATTAACACCTTTCAGGGCCTGGTTTTTGTGCCATGAAGACGGGCAGGTTGCTGAAAGGAGTCTGAATGCCCCTGAGCAGATATTGCGAATGTTCTCTGTGCAGGATGTGGGTAGAGGAGTTGGGGGAAAGCTGCTGGAGTGAGATCCTTGGGATGTGCTTGCTCTGTGAGGCTGAGGGACTTTAACTTGCAGTCCTGCCAGAACATGGACTTCAAATTTCAGATCTGAAGGCAAGGAGTTTTTTCAATGATTCTTTAAAGTTAGTGTGATAAGAAAGGTTGGAATATACAATTTATGTGGAAAAAATCCCCTACTTTTTCAATGTGACTGATTTTTTTTTTTTTTTTTTGAGAAGAGAATGCACTGACAATGATATTCTTGCTGTTTCTGTACACAGCTGCAATCTGTTTAATCCAGACATTACTCTCTGAGTCACACAGGGTTAGGCAAGGTGTTTGAGGAGTGTTTCCCAGGGTCCTTATCAATTGTTTTATTTTTCAGCTATAACCATGGAGAACCTGCCTAATGCCAACAGCAGATTTGCACTTGATCTGTTCAGAAGGTTTAGTGAGGCCAACCCAACAGGAAATGTTTTCTTCTCTCCTGTCAGTGTCTCTGCTGCTCTGGCCATGGTGCTTTTGGGGGCCAAAGGTAATACAGAGGCCCAGGTGCTGAAGGTTAGTAAAAAACAAATAAAATTCTTTCATATTATATGTTATTTACATTAAAAATGGTTGTGTTTTAGGGCAGGAAAGATGAAAAGAGAGCATTATTTTTATATGCTCAGGACAAGATTTCTTTCATGTACACTGAGTCTTTCTCGGATTCATTTTTGCAGTTAGTTATCTTCTGCCTGCCCTGCTCCAGAGCCCTCTCTCTATATCTTCTATGGGCCTGGTTGCTCATTTAATTTCACTTGTTGTTTCTCGAAGTACGAAACTAATTACATTAATCAGTCTCCTTTTAAATTGATTAAAATTTTCAACAGCAAGGCCTTATGAGAGATTTTGACAAACTATTACTTTATCACGAAAGGTCACTGATAGTATGTTCATTGTTATAACACTGTGTAGTTTGTAAAATACACAATCATAATATATAGTTTTATATTTAAAGTGTAACAACTATGATGATACATGGTATCAATGCTACCTAAGTATTGATATCTCAGTCAGCTAGGCACTCAGATATCTCTGAGGAGCTAAGCGTGCATGGTTATCCTTAGCATAGCCTTAGATTAGGTAAAATAGTTTAAAAAACCTTCCTTGTGAAAAATGGTGCACATAGGAGTGTTTCTGGCATGGAAAACAGACTTCCTCACTGTTATTTTTTGCACCTTTGTTAGGGTAACGCCTGTAAAAGGGCGTATGAGACTTTTCATTGGAGTCATCATTTCCTATGAATAATTTCACCTTTGTATTCTGGACTTTAGGAGGAACTGTTTTATGCTGTTGAGTGTTGCTGTGCTTACTCAACAAGACAATAAAATTACTTTCTAGCTCCTTGTTCAAACAGACTTGAAACATTTTTCATGTAATCAGACTGACAGCCCCACCTAGGATAAACCTACTGACAGCAAAAATCATGCAAAAGGAACTTGGGGGAAATAAATGTGTTTCAACTCAGTCACCCTCAATAGGAAATGTTCCTCTACCGTAATACTTTACTTATGAACACAGTGCTAATTAAGGAGGCAGTGATTAGTAATTGTTGAGGGCTGTTTGCAAGCATACAGAAATTTGTTTCCATGATCATATCTTTATTGTAAGTTGCCTACATGATGTTTTTGGTCAGCCATTCATCTGTGCAGCACATCTTGCAGTAAGGTGGGCAGCAGGGCCTGACCAAAAACCCAGTGACAGAAAGTGAAGGCTTTCCTTTGAATCCAATGACTGCTTCATAGCAGTCTTCCTACTGTGAAATGCATGGTTTAAGTTAGAATGTGAATGTCCCTACTTTGGTCTAGCCTTCCCTGTTCATGAGGTCTGGCAGCTTGTGCTGTCATATCTGTAAGCCTTGGCCAGACAGCTTGACTCTGGAAAAGGAAGTACTGGTAAAGAGAAATTTCAGTAATGCATTTGATTTTTCATTTATTTTGTTATTTAATTATATTTTCACAAAATTATAAAAGACAATTTTTTCAAGACCTCACCTGTGCTAGTGGTGATTGTATGTTCTGAAAAGCAAAACCCCAGGTTTTCTTTGGCCAAAGGGCGAATCAATAAAGCAAAAGTGTCTCCATGACACCATCCCTCTTTTCAATTCCCCCTATGGGAATGAGTTCTTGGGCCCAGTGATCCATGGAGAAGCATACAGACATCATACAGACAGGACTTGGGGTTCTCATCAACAGCTTCAACTGTGACTGTGTGTAAACCAGGAGCATAATACAAGTGACTGACATGGGCTGTGTACCACCAAGAAACAGTTTGATTCGTTCTTTGAGGTTTACAGAAGTCTCTAAGCAGCTTCCAGCCTCTTCTTTTCTCTTTCTTCAACCTACCGACCTGCTGGATCAGACCTACCCTACAGATACACTCTAAATTCTTTTAAGACAGTATTAACAGCAGCTAGTTAATTTCTTTTATTTCAGACACTTCATTTTGACAAAGTTGAAGACATTCATTCAAGATTTCAGACTCTGACAATGGATATAAACAGAAGCAATGCTCCCTATCTCTTACGACTTGCCAGTCGGCTTTTTGGAGAGAAGTCCTACAGCTTTTTGCCGGTAAGCTGGTGCACAACATGATGGTGTGTGGTGGAACCTGGTGGGAAAATGCAACTATTTAAGTATTTATGAAGTAGAAGTATTTCCAGGCATATTTCTAAATGTTACTGGGCAGCTGACAAAAGTATTGCTGCTTGCATATGCATTTTCATAGCTGTAGGCATCTGTGCATCTCACCTAAAGGATGTTACACAGCAAACCCTTTTCATTGCATGTTCGCTTCTGCTGCTCTTGGGCTCAAGAGAAAAATCACTTGTGTAGGTTTTTCGTTTACAGTAACTATCATAACATTCCACTCTGTTGCAAGCAACTTTTTAGGATACAGGCAGTTCTGTTTCTGTTGCAATCAGCTTTTTAGGATTTTCATTGGTCTAGTACCACATTACTTAAATATTTAAGTAATATATTCTTTATTTGGTAGGGGATGCTCAATATGTCTTACAACATGCCGGTTCGCTAGCAATTCATAATTTTGTCTGCATCTAGGTTGCTATTTTTTATCCCTCTTCAGCTATTTCAGAGAGGTTTTTTTTAATTCTACCTGTGCTTGAGCCTGTTTCAGGAGAATTACAGGTAAATATTGCAACACCTGCAGTAAGAACCCCATCAGCTGTAGATGTGGCTGGTGTACTATGAGGCTTACTCTAAGAGCAGAAAAAACCCTGCCAGCCTCAGAATCCCCCTCAGGCAGTGCACTGTTAGAGCCCCACCTCAGAGCAGGTGACAATCTGTTTGAGTACCTCTTATCTACCTGATAATTATATGTTTTCTTATCTGCATGCAGTGAAAGCTGTTCTTATTGTTCCAAAATCTAGGATTTCCTGACTAATACACGAAAATTATATGGAGCTGATTTGGCTACAGTTGACTTTCTTCAGGCTTGTGATGAAGCCAGGAAAGAAATTAACCAGTGGGTTGAGCAGAAAACTGAAGGTAAACTACTTTGGTTAATAAAGTAACTGGCAGTGTTTCATACTTTTGGAGCAGGAATAGGCTTTATTCTCTGCTGTCTTTAGAACAGTTTAATTCTGCTCTGGGGTATTCATTTGATGTATTGACAAAACGAGAAATTACCTAAGCAAGATGTTTAAACAATTCCATAAGTCCTGAGAATTTTCCTTTTTTGTGTGTTCAGGCTGTGAGTGCCTCCTATGAGTTCAGAAGAGATACCTGAACATAGTTATGAGTTGGAGAATTTTTTTTAGACAGTCTTGGTCTGTATTGTGTATGTATTTCTAAATTCAGTAATCCTTAATGTGGGTGTTTTCTGGTTCTTGTACGATGGGTCAAATGTGACAGTTTAAGCTAAAAATATTATGTTTTCATCAAATTACTTATTAAAAAGCTGTTTCAAAAGTTAAAAAGTGTGGGGAAGTAGAGAGACAGGTACTGAAATATATGTCATTACAGAATGGACTAGAGTTTTATATTTGTAGTATTCCCATGACATCAGTTTCTTCATATATGTTTTTATATACCATCAGCTTATTACAAGATTTTGTTGTCACTTTTTTTTTTTGCTGCCTCTGAAGGTAAAATCCCTGATCTGCTGTCTGAGGGCTCAGTTGATAACTCGACCAGGCTTGTGCTGGTGAACGCTATTTATTTCAAAGGGAACTGGGCAGAGAAATTTAAAGAAGCTGACACCACTGACATGCCGTTTCAGTTAAGTAAGGTAATACAGATGTGTCTTGGTAGTGTGTATCTAATGGAAATGTCAAATGATATAGGTGCTAAAGTGAAGCTTTGCTTACAGATAAAATAATTAAGAAATACAAAGTCTTTAATGAATGTTTTCAGTTCACCTGAAAGGACTTTTTTATGGATTTCAGTGTTTTTCTGTATTCAGCAAGCTATTTTTTTGTCTCACTTACTGGAACAGTGTCAGAGACAGTTCTCAGCAATAGATTAGGACCTAGCAGAATTTCTGTCCTCTAGCAGTTCAGCAGCTGTGAACTGTGACTGTTTGTGGTGGTAGGTAAGTTGTACTAAAATGATAGCATGTTTTGATTAAGTTCCATTTTCTTATTCTGTATTCTGGTTATGTTAACAACTTTACAAGTCACTGTATACAGTCACCTGCTTTATGCTGAACAGAGTTGATCTTTTTTTACTTAACATGGTCATTTTTGTGTCTAGATGATGCCGTAAAATGTTGATGCTAAAAAATAACTCAGGAGCAGTTAATTGGGGGTGAGATAAGGAAGGGGTTTAATTGTGCCAAGGCAATAGATGTTACAAGACGCACGCGCCGGCTGTACTTGAGATATTACATTTTACAATACTATCTGTCCAATCCAAGTTTTGTCCATCCCATTGCTTTTGCCCTGGTCCACCCCCTGGGCCACCCCCTGGGAATTGGGTCTGGGGGCCTTTGGGACCACCTACTTCATCATTTTCATCATCCTCAGAGCACAAAGGGTACACAGTCACCTTGGTCTTGACTCTGTTCTGTTGTTCAGGCCTAGATATTGGTGTTCTCTAAACAGTATAGGCCTTGCCTTGACAAGAGACTAAATATTTCTACTGGATTCGGGGTAGGATTGATATAGGGTGCATGGAATGGGGTAAGAGGGTTAAGGAATGTGTAAACTACTTGTACTGCAGGGTAAGGGAATGAGGGCTGCTGCTTTTAAAATCTACTTCTACTACTTCTAAAACTTATAAAACTTACAAAAATTAGAAAAATAAGAAAACTAATAGGGGCTTAAGGCATCGTAGAGCAATATAAAGGTCCAGCAACTCACAGAAATTGATTCAGTTCTTGCAAGGTCTGTGCTATAGATGCCAAAGGAGAAGCAAATATAATACAAACTCATTATATCTTCAGAGCAAACTGTTATTAAACAGGCAGGCAGGAGTCTGACAAAAGCAGTTTTATAATCACCTGATATAATGAAGGAAAAGTTTTTGCAAAAATGCAGTTTTAACTTACTTGTTTCCTATCAGTTCTTTAAATGAGTTGTTCCTCAACTGTTACTTCTGTTACCTTTTATCTATCCAGAAAGAAAGAAAGACAGTGAAAATGATGTATCAGAAAAATAAATTTAATTTTGGGTACATTCCTGAAGAGAAGGTCCGTGTTTTAGAGCTGCCTTACGATGGAAGAGAACTTAGTATGATCATCCTGTTACCTGATGACATTGAAGATGACTCTACTGGGCTGCAGAAGGTGAGCCATCTAAGCTAATGCATTTGTTCAATGTTTTTAAGTTCAACCATTAAAAATTAAAGCCTTAATGAACCTGTGTTCTCAGAGCCCCGTATCTATCATTTAGACAACTCTCTATTAGCACAGCAATAAAGAAGACATGCATGTGCTGCATCAGGAAGAGGAGTTGTGTTCTGATATTGTAGCTTGTGTTCATGTGTCCTCTGGCTTGCTGAACTGAAGCATGATGGAGGTTGAAAACAGAGTTAGCTGTGAAATAAACTTGCCTTGATTGTTTTTAATGACAGAACGTTTTTTTCATTACCTTTGAAAATCTTTATTTTCTCAGGCATGAAGTAGAGAGACTGTTTTCCATTAAATGACCAGGAACTCATCAGCTTCTTTGAGCTCTCTGATTATGATTTTTGTTACTTGTTTTTAATTAGGTAATTCCATTTAGTTAGGTTCAACAGTAACAATGACTGTGTTGGTATCAGTGTGTGTTTTTCCCTTGTGTACATTGCAGCAAGAAGCAAATGTCTGCATCACTTTGTAAAGTAAAAACTGCACTGATTCTGCTTAATTTTAATAGTATTTGTTTGATCTATATGTAGGTATCAAAGATATGGGTATGGTCATTTTTGTATAGTTGCTTTACCATTGTATAGTGTTCTATAAATAAAGCCTTGTAAGTGTTACTGAAAATGAAAGACTACACTGGTGATGTGTAATGATCTCTGTCTTTTTAATTCTAGCTGGAAAAGCAGCTTACCTTAGAGAAGCTCCAGGAATGGACACGTCCAGAACATTTATATTCCACTGATGTTAATGTGCATTTGCCAAAGTTTAAGCTGGAAGAAAGCTATGATCTTAAATCAGATTTAGCTGCTATGGGCTTGTTGGATGTATTTGACAGTGGTAAGGCTGACTTGTCGGGAATGTCAGGGGCACGTGACCTCTTTCTCTCTGAAGTTGTCCACAAAGCTTTTGTAGAAGTGAATGAGGAAGGCACGGAAGCTGCAGCTGCCACTGCTGGCATTGCTATGCTCTGCATGGTTATAGAAGAGGATTTCAATGCTAACCATCCTTTCCTCTTCTTTATTCGCCACAACCCAACACAAACCATACTTTTCTTTGGCAGATATGCTTCTCCATAAAAGAGAACTTAGCATTTGCAGACCAGCTCGTGCCATTGTTAATGAAAACTTTGCTCCTGAATGAGTTGGATTTTGATGTAGGAAGTTAATGCTCCTGTCTTGAGTTCCAAGGAACTTTCACCGAGATTCTGCCTTTCCCATTAAAAACAATTCCAGAGAAATATAGGAGTGTAATTTATTTTTCTTTCTTGAGATTGACATCATCTTTAATGAAATGAGGAAAATCTTGACTGTAGACAGAGGAAACCTTTTGAAATTGGAGTAGAAATAGAAATGGTCTTGAAAGAAATGTGTGTCTCCTCAAGTGCAGGAAAACCCTATATGCATCCTTACATGGGTTTTTCTGTGTCAACAGCCCCCTGTTCTAATAATCAGTCACTCCTTAATAATCCAGTCACTCCTTATGCATATATACTAGGATGTTCTTGCAAAGCCGTTCCTCTCCTAAAGCCTTGCTTTATGAAAATACGGTAATAAAATACTTCTAGGCACCAAAAGGCATATCCTGAACAGCTGAGTTTACCCAGTTCTGTCATGAAATAGAAGGTCAGATAACATTTGTTTATAGTCATCTATTAATAGAAAAAGGATTGAGCTATTTAAACAAAAGTAACCCCTTCCAGTCATTAGCCAGAAAACTCAGAAAAGAGCTTTTGAATGAAGAGGATTTTCAAAATTTACAGGCTGGTGCCATTTTAGTTATTGAAAATGTGAAAATGTGCCAGGGATTAGACATTTTAGGTGCCTTTTTGCAAGTTCAGAAGCTGTCAATATGAGATTAGATTCTGGCCAGAAGCTATATCATCTTCAAAAGATACTTCACCTCCCCAGAGGATAACTGGGTATAATCTGAAAGAAATATCTGATGTGTATCTTTATGTACAAGGATTCTATATTTACTGACTTCCACTACCTCTTTATACACAAGCCTCTTGTACTGTACCACAGCCTTGTGCCTGTGAGCCAATATAATTACATACTGTAGTGTTCTGTGTTTATTTCTGGAGGTTATTTGCTTGTATCATGTTTATCTTGGGTACTGTAATGTTTACCTGTACAACCTCAGCTCTGAGTGTGGCACAATAATTTCTGTAACTTCAAACTGTATATTAATTTTTTCTTCAAGCAACAAATAAAAGTAATTTTCTTAAACTTGTGTTCAAAATAGAAACTTCTGTGTGCAAGTTAGTATTTCAGAGTACAAAAATAACTGTATACCTGAAGGCTAGTTCCAGGGAAAATCACCGGTGCAGCAGCTGTGACCAGCTGTGTGAAGTCCTTGGGCTGTTCAGAGTATGTGAAAATACTGAAAAACAAATTGGTCAATAGAAGAGGTGATTGCATGAACCATTAGCTTCCTCTGGAAGTGTAACTTTAGCTGCTTACCCCACAGGGAGCAGGGAGAGAGTCACCACCAGTATGAAATGGCACAAACACTTGGTCTGGATGTGTGTGCAATACCCCGGTAACAAAGGCTCTGGTAGGTTTGTAAAGGAAAGAGTGTATTGCAGAGTGCAGTTGTGAATGTAACCCTTTCTGAGCTGAATGCTTTGAAAACCCAACACTTTGAAAACCAATAAATGAGACAAATACTAGCACAAAACCATGTAAAATTTTGGAACAGTTTGACATTGCGTTAGTTCTGGGTTTCTGTGCCTTTGTCTTTAGCATTTTAGCAAATAAAACTTCTGCTGCCATGAATGAGTTTTGCCCAAGGAAGGCTCAAAAACTTCATCATAAATATATCCTTATCTTTATTTGCTTAAACTTAGTCAATGCATGCAAGATATATGATTCCTGCAGGCTTCTAGGGCAGCAATTACCAGATCAAAAGAAAGATAAAACCTTGCATAATTGTACAAATCAGTGTAGCTTTATGAGGAGACTCATGTCTGTATTTATTGCTTTGGTCTCAGTATTCAGTAACTGAACTATTACAGAGATAAATTTGGTTTTCTAGACTATGTGCGCAAAATAAAATCCAGCAATGAGAATCTCAATAGAATCAGCTTCACATTCAAGCATTTACAAAAGCCCAGCCAATACTCCCCTCCCATAATAGATGTCCCACAATAAGGTGGTTATGTTTTTCCTTAACACTGTTCATTTTTTTCCTGTGCTCCTGTAAGAACAAGTGACTGACAAGGGCTGACTCCTATAGAGAAAACTGGCATGCCAACTTTATTCACATTTCTAAAAAATAATATCCTGCTTCAACTAGCTCTTGAGAGGGATTTTGTTTCTAGATCTACTGAATGAACACAGGTCTCACTGAGTTCAAAGCATGGTAATCTTCAGTATGAGATGATTTAACAGAGGAAAAAAGTAGAAAATATAAAACCAGGAGCTTAGCCTTAGTCTTAGCGAAGTAGCAGTCATAAATCCACATCCACAGTATGAAAAAATACATTACACACATAAAATATTTGGTTTATATTAACCTGAGGGACTCCAACATTAAAACCTTAGCTCACTGCAGTTAAATTTCCTAGGAGGGGACCAGTAAGTACTTGAACAAGAACTTCCCTGTTAAAAACCAATTTGCAACTGGCTGCTGTTATGAGAAGACAACATGGGAGTTTCTTCGAGTGGAAGAGAAGATTACAGCAGCTGGACTTCAGTCTCAATTTTGGCCTTTCCTAAGAAGATCAGGCTTTGTAACAGTCCAAAACTCTGAGCAATATTTGCTCACTGTGCTATGATGAGTAGGCCAGACTGTACTACTGCTTACACAGACGCCTTAGGAAAGCTCTTTGATTTTGGTAATTTAAAAAGAAAAACCACCACTCACCACCACCATCATTTGGCTGCTTTTTATGATTCATACAGTTTAAGTTGCTCATTCTAGAAAGTAAATACCATAATGTGGATAAGGAGGAGAGTAATCTCTGGGTTTTATGTCACCTTATACTTGAGATAAATTTACTCAGATGAGTTAAGACCTTCACTGTTAAATGTTTTCATGTATCTATATATGACCAAAATCCTGGTGAAGTACATAAACCTGATCAAGTGTTAGAGATGGATGTTTTTCTTGCTTTTTTTTATTGTGGTTCATTAGACCAGTGCAGTTCACTTGAACCTACTGAGACAAAAATGTACAATTAAAATTAGAACCTGGTTTTTGTTAGTTTAGGGTTTGTTTTTTTTTTTTTTTTTTTTTTTAACTGTAATGAACCTCTAGTTCTATCATGTCATCTTATGGTACCAGCTGAAAGCATATTCTTATCCATATTAATTAAGTGGCCTATGCAATCCCTGACTACTTAGTGACAATGAAAGACAAAAACCATAGACAAAATCCTGGAGAGTCAGTGCAGCCTTTCTGGAAACATGCTGAACATGTGCAGTGGCCAGAAAACGCTGTATCTTCAGGATAAATAGAACTTCAAACAACCAGCTTGTATAAACGCTTTTATTTTTAAGTCATTTCATGGAGAATTATAGTCATTTTGGCCAAGAACATTTCTCTCAACACAAGAGAAAACACTTACAGAAAAGGGAGAAAATGCAGTCCAGAGATTAACTGATGGTTTAAACTCTTTGTGCATGGAAAACAGGACAAGAAGACTAAAATACAAGTAATGATTTTGCATAAATATTTAGCATAAAAGTCCAGACAACTCCTTAGCAGCTGTATCATCCAACTTTTTATCTGTGAGAGTCAAACAAGCTAAATAACGGAAAAAATATTCATTAGGTAATTCTCTAAAAAAGCTGCAGTGGAACTCATTGGGGGAATTATTTGATATTTCTGGTCTGGCTATCCATATCATTGACAGTGGCATGTTACTACTGGGAGAAACAACTTACAGCAGGACAAGTTGTTTCTCATGTGTACTGAATTCTTCAACACAGGCTACAGCATGGCCTTTCTCATGGCTTGCATTATTTTTTATTGGGACAATTTATATGAGAGAAAAAGAGATTGTGATATGGTGGACTTTGATGGTGCTTCTTACAGTGGAAGCAACTGTTACCTGATGGGGTCCAAATCTCATCTCAAATTTCCTAGTGACACTGCAATATTTGGCATTTCCTTAAAGCTCTGCACCCTAAAGATAAATAAATACACCACCATACTACCATTCTTAACCATTCTTGCCCTTCAATGACCTTCAAAAGGTAAGCTCCAGATACTCAAAAGCCAGAAAACGACAAAATGTGCTTCATGATTTTTTAATTTCATTATTTCATTCTGTGGTTTTGAAGCAATTTCACAAGGAGACTGGGTTCCGCTTGTTGAAAGCAGCATTGCCAATCCTATGTGAACACAGCATACATCATCCTGAGAAGAATTAGATGGTTTTGCCTTGGGTCTATTTCGGAGGGACAGGAAATGGTGCAGGGTGAAGTGTCCATTTGTGAGTGCATCTGATGCTGATGGACTTTTTAATGGAGCACGGAGTTCTTCAAACAGTGGAGATGACTCTCTTTAGAGGGAATATAAAGATGCACATCAGTGGCAGAGAGAGAATAGAAAGCAGCCACTCTGTTCCCCGTATAGCATATCTTGCTAATTAGAACAGGGAGGAAGAGAAAAGGTAAATAATGCTTTCCTTGGAAAGTGGCCATGAGGCACGACAGCTTTGAAACTTAAACTTGTTGTTGGCAACATTTTATAGCCTATTAGATGTCACTGTCTGATGGATCTGACCTGAGGGGCATGACCTTTTTGCCTTCACTGGAGGCTGAGGAATGAAAAACCCTCTGAACCTTTTGCCAACCTGTGCTGCCCCCTGAAGGCAAGCATACGATGCTTAGATTTACTCTAGCACTGGAAGAGACCGCACCTTGCCTTATTCCTCCGTGTGCATTTCAGAGGACCAGTAGAATAAAAATACTAATCTAATTATTACCCCATTAATTTAAGCAACAAGAAAGTTCCACCCAAACTACAAAAAAGTGAATTGTATTAAAAAGAAAATCATGCAAACTTACATAAATGAAGCTTGTCAAAAGACTTGCTTTAGAAACAGAGTTTGCTCAAAGCATTCAAAAACTATACTTATTTGAGTAAGGAGAACATAGGAATGTTTAAAGAATCTGACTCAAACCCTTTAACAGCATACAGTCCTTCAACAGATTTAATTTCTGAAACATTTCAGTTACACCACAATCTCTGGCTTAAGTCCTACCTACATTTTTGTCATGCAGAACTTCATATGAAGGGAGTCTCACAACAAAATTAATCTCCAATACAAATTGCAATGTTTTGCAGTTGCATATTGAAAACTTTTGATCACGGCCAAGGGCCAGCAATCTGTCTTGAAATGTAAGAGGAGGAAGCTGAATAAAGCTGGCTTCTGGACTTGGCACTGCATCCTCAGACCGCAGACCTCCTGGTTTGCTAAAGTTGCTCTGAATGAACTCCAGATGTGTGGCTGTGGCAATCTCTCTGATCTAAGCTCCACAGAGCACCAAATACCTCTGCTGTCAAGAAATACCCACCTGCAATTTGTGTATTCCAGGCAGCTGACCTGCAGGTGGTTGGGTGGTATCACAGCTGGAGAGAGGTGCAAAAAGCTCAGTATTACTCAAATACAAATCAGCTTTCCTTCATCAAAGAATGAAACATTTATTTACAAATTGAATTGGGTAGATGAATAGAAGTTTTTAAAAACTGTTAAATGCAATACTGTAAATGTGAAATGAAGCACCAGTCATTGTTCAGTAAATGTAACACATCACAAAAAGCCAAATGATTCAGTAATATTATAAAAAGAAATATCTATGGTACATAGTCCTTCTGGGGAAGAGTTAGCAATCTTCTGACTACTCTCAAGGAAGTCACCTTTTAGCAGACACATGGCATTTGTAGCTGAACAGCAAAAGACCAGAAGCTATACACAAAGCATTGTAAATTTTGACCTTACCACATTTCCCAAACTAAGCAGGATCAGGACATGAATCCCTGAAATCCACCAGTAATCAGCATAGACCCAGTAACAAAAGTATGTGGGGCAGGTAGCAAGCAAACCCTGAGCAGTTACCAAGCAAATCCAGCTGCAATTACACAGCACTATGGTGGTGGTGGTAATTTTTAACCCAGACGTACATCCTCATCACTGGGGGCCAGTTAACTCCATGGTACTTTGACAAGTGTGGACAGTTGCCCCAGTGGCTGGTCAGCATTTCAGTAATTAAAACCTTCTTTGCTAATTA